TGTGTGTGTGTGTGTGTGTGTGTGTGTTTGGAGGAGAGGGAAGGGTTGTAGAAGACGAAGCATTCAAGAGTTGTATTTTCTGCTTCGTTAATTCAATCCTAGTTGGTTAGAAACAGTAAAATGTTGTCTTGCTAAATTACTCAGCAGCTGCTATTTTCTGTGAGTCAAAACGATGAGGTTGTATTTCCTAATAGGACTCGGACAAGTGCAATAGTAACCCCAAGACGGAACAAAGAACCGAACACTGCCATAACTGTTTATTGAATAGAAAGTATATCTTTAGATGGGTTTGTTTTTCATTAACACAGTCTCTTTGTATCTTAATGACTCACAAGCCACATGCTTGCATTTTTTCTAAAAGAAATGAAATTGAAAGAATACGATACATTCAAGGCAGTAGTGTGCCAAAGAATAGAATTAGAAGTGAAAAGGCATCCAAGCCTGACAGTAAAGGATTAACAGAAAACTAATTTGTTTTTTTTCCTCCTTATTCAGTCCGGTGCAGCCTAAAGATATTCAAATCTTATTGAACTCTGCTTTATCCTGTAAGGTGTCGAATGGCCTTGTTCTCCATATATGATTTGCTATGTTTTATAGTTATTGATTGGATGTTATTAACACAAAAACAAAACTCTCCAAATCTTTTTAATACTGAAAAGCTTGAATACAGTTTTTAAAAAAATCAAGTAAAGATTTATCATGTATACCTATAGACATACATAGTTAGATTTAGGGAAAACGATCGATGCCCCCCCCCCCTCCTTCCCACAACATATTTGCGAGCTGCTTGCTGTTCCTGTAATGCGGTGTTCATACATACAGGAGAAGACTCGACGAGCAATCCCGATAAGATAATGCCAATTTCGGATTTAATCGTGACGAGCATCTGGCCATGACTGTTGGCATTATTGTGTCGACAAGCACTCGGGGAGACGCTCACCGAGCAATAATTTAGGACGATGAGCATATCGTAGAGCGTCTCGCCGAGCGTCTTGCTGAGCAATTAGTTTGAATCCTGGCCACTTGCAAAGCCAAGAAACGTAGCGGCCGAGTAAAATTTCACAGGCCGACCAACTCACAAACCATGCTGACCAGCTCGCCGACCCGTCGCCGAGTTAGTTGGTGTGCAATGTTGTAATATATAAAGAGGGGGGCAAAATGTTTGTGTTCATTCCTTCAACATTTCTCATACGACACAGACGATGAATGCGTATTTCATGTATATATATATGGTGCCCTTGCTGTTGTGCTGGTGCAAGAAGAGGAGGTAGAGGAGGAGGAGGAGGACCTGTTGGGTTAGACCATGGCTCATAAAAAGACCCCTGTTTGGACAGTTTGAGAAGAAGGCTGAACTGCAAGTTGAAGATGTGGAATCCTTCAGGAACTTCCTCAGAGTTTCTCCAGAGTTTTTTCCCCAAAAAACTACAGGAGAAAATTGGCCCCACCATCTACAAAGCAAAACACTTTCTGAAGGCAGTCACTGGAACCTGAAATCAAGATGGGTGCCACTCTTCGATACCTGGCAACAGGAAATAGTTACAGATCTCTACAGTATGGCTTCAGGCGTGAATGTCGTCGCGTCAGGGCGCATGCTCGTCGTGTCAACTTTTGCACACTCAGACTCACAGTGCAAGATTTTTACACGGCTAGCAATAATTTAACTCTGCTACCATTCGGGTCTCGTCGGTGTGTCACTGTCACTCGACAACGTATGCAAATTGCACGCCCAGCTATTTCTGACACTCCCCGAGTCCTCTTCGAGTTTTCCCCGAGCGAATATTTGGCTCGGCGACTGATTTTTCGCTCGGCGAAAATTTTAAGTATGCCTGAAAATTTCGACAAGCTTCCCGTATAATAATTTCACACAGCGTGCATGAAATGTCACCCGGGGAAGGAGGCCGATTGCTCGGCGAAATGTATCCAGAGTAGCCCCGACCTGCTGGACTAAGAAATTTTATTTTACTCGGCTTCATTACTCTTGTATATGTGAAAACCGCATAAGGTGTAGCTTAAATTGCGACCAGAATCTCTGCACTTGGTCAAGCACGATTTTTGTTATTGTTGTTTTTGTTGTCTTTTTTATTCAGGGGGGGGGGGGGGGGAGACGGAGGCTTCGCTTCGATCAAATGTTGTGCGTTTGTGTTTAGTTTGCGTTGTGTTAAACCACGGTCGGAGGTGTGTGTGTGTGTGTGGGGGGGGGGGGGGGTCTGAATGATTCGTTTTTATATTTGAAGGCTAGGACGTGAACCTTGCTCCTTTTCAAATTCAACCATCTCGTTACCCTGTCTTTAACAAAAAGAAAACGAATATTACATTGTTGAAAGAAGTAAGGAGATGGAAGGCAGGGCAATAACAAAAGTTTAGGGTCAAACGATGGTCGTAAACCCCCCCCCCCCCAACAACTGTCTCTGTAAACAGTTTTCAAGGTCACGACAAAATAATTTTACATTAGTAATAACACTACAATTCAGTTGTATTTATCAATGCAAACGTTCGAGGCGTATTCAATAGCAAAACGCCATAATGCCCATTAGTATTCTCCGCTTGCGCTGTCCAGTTGACTCGAATGGAGGTAACCTGGCAGAGAAATTTATCCATGGGTGAAATATGGATATAGTAGTTCTATTAAGCAAACGACATTGCATGAGTCGTTTTCGTAGCGTTTGGATCCTGTCAGACCAGTTCTTCATGTCCAGCTCGCTGGCCACCGTTGTGTTGTCTGTATCCAACTTAGTACACGCAACTTCGAGGTTCAGCTCTTTTTGTGGTTTGCAGTTTCACGTCTCTGGGCACGTTGCCTTTCACACTCTCAACTAAAAACCCCGTCAGAGGACAAGTCCTTAGTCATGCAAATTACTATTTCCCTGCCTCACAGGGTTTTAATTTAAGACAAACGCAGAAACAAATAAAAAGGCGGTAGGGTTGGCTAGTGTCAGATTAGAGACTTGACTGCTGTGACAAAAGGCAATCTGCAAAGTCGTTTTTCTCCAGCATCTAGTCATTTTCTTTAAAAAACAACAACCAACAAACAGTTTCCCCGAGAAACTTCATTTACAAAATCAGACATTCTAGATTTATCTAAACCGATCTTAACTTTTCCATATTTATGAAACAAATCCAAATGCAACTTCTTCAAATGATGAATTATACTACCAAACCAACTTATTAAACCTTCAATAAAACGGTTTTACTGTAGGTGCCAATGGGTTTGCTGGTTCAATTTTCCTGGCTGTTTTACACACCTCTATTAGCATTTGTTGAAAAGGAGATCCCGTATTTAAATTAACTTACAGTTTTGAAACAAGCGTTAAACTCTGTCCATACTTTACTTCAAAGAATAGCATTTGAGTTATATCTTTTTGTCTAATGTAAATGCTACTACTTCATTAAAAAATAATCTAATGAAACTGAGGAAAAGTAGGAAAACAGGCCTGGGTCCTAAGTACCTATACTAATAAATAAGTAGAGAAAGAGAAACATTTTGGAAGAACTGGGTTTGGTCAGTAGACGGCACTGGTCTCTCAAATTGGCATATAATCTGAAACCAATGGCCTTTCTTAGCTGACCTATTACACAACCGGTCTCCAACCACAAAACAACCAGAACAGTGTGGGCAGAACTCTGTGTGACCCGCCACTTTTCAAACAATTTCCTAAGTCGATTAGATGGGAGCACGCTCCAACGATTACTGGATAAGGCCATGTCAGAAATCGACTTCAGTCGTCTACTTTACCTTGACACCTTTCCCCGGCTAATCCCTTACTGACAGGCGTGATTCAGTCCGTTTTCAATGTAGGGAATGCTACTATTTCACGCTCTAGTGGAAATATTTTTAGAAAAAAATAGTAAAAGTCACGTCATGGTTTACGGTTTTGACATACACCCTGATATACAACTTTAAAAAAACAAACAACAACAACAACAATAACAACAACTACAATATCAACAAGAACAAGAAGCCGAGGAAGAACAGAAAGAAGAACAAGAACGAGAAGACGTTGTTACAAGTTGCCCCTCTTTTTGACCGCATTCTTAAGTGCCCGACAACTTGACAAAGGTATGGTTTTCCTTTTGTATGTTGAAAAACAGAAAACTCCTTCGTCATAAAAGAAGCTACAATAGTATCATATCATTTGCCATAATATAGGATAATCCAGGGATTACATTCTGTATTTGATAAATGTTTCAGGAATCTGTTTATTTTATAGGATCATTTTTCACCTTTTTCTGGTGCGGCACCAACAAATCTTGTTTTGGGGCCAAATTATGCAAATTGGGGTTATTCCAGATAATAGTACCTGGACATTTCCTGAACAATATCCAGAAATGTATGTAAGCTTTGATACACCCTAAAGCTGTCTTTTTTTTGTCCAAGTGTTTCTGCGAAAGCACACGTTTTCCAGTCCTTTATCGGCTGTTTTCTCATAATTCTATTTTTTCACACATTATCCCATTTTTCTGCCATGTTCCTTTTTCAATTTAAATGTATCTTTCACAGGATGTCAACAACACCTAGTTCTAAATTTTGGCCTGTTGAATGTTTGATTAATGGAGTAGTGTTTTTTTTATGGGCGTGAATTTTTCCATTTTTTCACTTTTTTTGGAACAACCCAATTGTAAGTGTCATAAAATAAAATCTAAAGCATATATAAAAAATCCAACTACCCAAATTTAGCAGCTATATATTTACTCTTGGCATGCCATATTAGAAGTGAATCAGTTAATAAATAAGCGAATAAAATGGGATTGAAAAAAGGTGTACAAAATCCAATATGGCCGCCGTTTCCATAGAAACCGATTCAAAATATACTTTTTGAATTATAGATTTCAAATCCCCAATAGCACACAATGTCCCACAGCAAATATGGACATTCTAGGCCTTGTACTAGCCAAAATAGACCTCAGGTGCCCCACTAGCCTTTAACAATTCAAGCCAATGGGGTGTTGAAACGCTCTATTAATAGACCTTACTATGCTTGCGTTACATAATCCTTTATTTA